AGAGAGAGAGAGAGAGAGAGAGAGAGAGAGAGAGAGAGAGAGAGAGAGAGAGAGAGATCCGTTCGACCTCAGCACACGTCCACGACGGATGGTTTTGGCGGCGCGTGCTGATGTAGGAGGTATGCCATCCGAGACTTGGACGAATCTGACCGCAATCACGTCCAGAGCTTAGTAGAAAAGGTAAGAGTGTGAGTATGCCGTACACTCGGACCTTTTCTAAAGCTCTGGCCGTGATTGCGGTCAGATTTGCCCAAGTCTGGCCGTAAGTGCCATCAGATACATTTCTGGAAGTGCTAGTGTCAGGCCTCAGGTAAGCACATAACGTATCTCTGGAACCTTTCTTTCTTTTTTTTTGGGGGAGAATCTCTGGACAAGTGAGAATGAATCCTCCGCTTGAACATGGAAAGATACAGTGCCATATCTGTCTTGTGTGCATGTCGAGAGTAGTGCAGCGAGGCTGTTGGTGAATAGTCCCGCTGAGGTTCTGACAGGTTGGACAGGCGGAGCTTCGCTCCACCACTCACCACATAATCAAAAGAGGAAACCGAGGGCGATGTATCATTCCATGTTCTAGCTGAAGATTCATTCTCTTTTCTCACAGTTGGTGCCTCTTCTGAGGGATTCCGGCGACAGGTAAGTCATTCTGATTTTCTTCCTTTATGTTCTTTTCTTTTTAATATGAGCAAAAAATTCCAGGAAACACGGCTGTGAGTTCCGTCGTTTTCTGCTTCAGAAGTAATAAGAAGCAAACGTTTTGAGAGATCGCGACCCTCATCATGACTGATCTGGCCTGCAAGAACCCTACCATACAGACTGCAAGAACCCTACCATACACACACAGTGTTACACGGACTACAGGTTTTACTAAAAGCTTTCAGGTCAACGCGTGGCCTCCAAAAAAAACTTGGCTGCCCGTTTCTTATTTTACGTGAGCAGGGGGCCGGGTCTACTACCGCCCCTCACAAGTTTTTTTTTTTTTTTTTTTCGACCCCCATTTTTAGAGCTGCGCTGCATGCAGTGCGCGCGCATCGTGCGTGATGCGCCGCATATATGGGGTTCAGCCTCCTGATGAGTCGGTGAAACTCCGACGAAACAGTTTGTCACAGCCCCTCGTTTGTTGTCCTCTTCTCTCTCTCTGCCTACGGTGTACCGGGCAGTTCTGTTTGTGACGATATATGGTAAATACAGATCTGCACTCGTATTTTCTTGAACTTTTTTTGACTTTTTTTTAATTATAAATAAGGTGTCTTCTCCTCATCTGGGGACAGTTGTATATGTATTTTTCTCTCAGGTTTTAAATGGCTTCTGCCATGTCATGGACTTTCTCTGCTGTACTGGCTTTTTTTCTTTTTTTTGTGTGTGTTTATATGTGTGTATCTGTGTGTGTATGTGTGTGTGTGTGTATTATGTCTGTTGGCCTGTCTGTCGTTGTGACTATGTCTGCATGTGTGCATCTAATCATCATGTGTGGATGCGAATATGTCATGTCTGTGTCTGTGTGTGTGTCTTCTTTTACTGCTTGGTGTTTGTGTGTGTGTGTGTGTGTGTTGTGTTGTGTTGTGTTGTGTTGTGTTGTGTTGTGTTGTGTTGTGTGCGCCTATGTCTGTGTCTGTCTTTGTAACTGTGTCCATCTCCGTGTGCCCATGTGTGTGTGTGTGTGTGTGTGTGTGTGTGTGTGTGTGTGTGTGTGTGTGTGTGTGTGTGTTGTGTTTTGTGTCTGTGTCTGTCTGTGTCTGTGTCTGTGTCTGTCTTTGTGACTGTGTCCATGTCCATGTGCCCTTTTTTGTGTGTGTGTTTGTGTGTGTGTGTGTGTGTGTATTTGTGTTGTATTGTGTTTTTTGCCTGTGTCTGTGTCCATGTCCATGTGCCCATGTGTGTGTGTGTGTGTGTGTGTGTGTCCAGTAATTTGAGCTCTGGTAATTTCAACGGTGCTATTCCAGGTAGCGATTTCTGGGGCAAGTTGCTATCGCTCAAGATTGTTGACCTTTCAAACAATCTTCTTGAAGGAGGGATCCCCACCTCATTCACATCTTTGGGAAATCTTACTCAGCTGTAAGTTCTACTCAGACCCTGTGTAACCTTGCGGAACCGGAAAGAGAAAACACCGTTGGCTTTGTGTTGTTGTAGTGCGTCCACTTTATTAGGAGTTAAAAGTCTTAAATTTGGATAGATCGGAGCCACTTTTCATTTAAACCAACACTACCCCCCAAGCTCTTTTTGTTTTTTGGTGGCGGATTTGTGCTGCACGCCGAAAAGGGGGTCAAACCAACTAGCGCGGCCTTCGTTGTTCCCGTATTTCTGTAAAAACCTGTACCAGCCAAAGTGGTCCAGCAGCCCGAGCACATGATGATTCCAAAAGTAGACACCTTCGTCACAAAAGCTCGTGGGGAGAGGGAGTGGTGGTTTGGGGAAAAAAAAAAGAAAAAAAGAAGGATTTCAACTTTTTTTAAGTTGTAAGTTTGGATCTTTGGACCATGGATATGCCAGGGCTGAAAGAGTCCAGACAGCATCCAGAATCAGTTGGAGGCTCAGGAACGGATGCCATGTGACCGCCGAGATCTGATCTGGATTGGCAGGGTGGGCAAAGAATGCTTTTTTTTTTTTTTTTTTTTTTTTTGGACTTGGCTATGAATTTTGCAATGGTCCTCGTTCAATATTTGTTTGTAACTTTGTATTACGTTTTTTTTTTTTTTTACCTTTTTAGCAGAGTAGTCACGCCAATTGTCGGCACCCCTGGATTGGGCCGGGGCTTACCAGCCGACCGTAGGACTGGTTGGCACCTACCTGTATGGGGTCGGTCGGCACCCCCCAATTTTTATTTTTTTTTGGGTCCAGACTCCAGAACCCTAAATAACGCCATCAACACCTCCATAGCCCCCCCACACACACACACAAAAACAAACACCCCCATATACCCGCCAACACCCCTATACCGCCCCCCAACACCCTCATACCCCCCCTTAACCCTCTACAACTCCCCTATAACCCCCTTATGCCCCCTCTATACCTCCCCCATAGCCCCCCGTACCCGCCCCCCCATCCCCACAACTTTCTCAGCCGATTTGGGCTGTACTCAGAAAGCGCAGTACAGCCCTGAACTCAGATTTGAAAAAACAAACAGTGGATGGCCCTCTGCAGACTGCCGACCAGTCCGCCTACGGGTTGGCCCGACTGGTAGGTGTTGGCCGTAGGCGTTCTGACAACCCTTCTTCTTAGTCTTTTTTAGTCTTTTTTTGTTTTTTTGTTTTTTTGCTGAGTGAGGACGCCGCCCGGCCGAGCTGGGCCCGGGGGGGCCAAAAATCTGCCCAGAAATATATATATAGGCTTTCTTATTCTGTGAGGTTTGGTTTCTTCCGCCTTTTCTTTACCTCCGTGCCTTTTGGCTGCGTGCAAGTGGGTCTTTGTGACACACGGGGATGGGGGCAGCCAGCGCTGAACCTGTCATCCACGTGGCTGGCCTTGTACGTAGGAGGTGACGAACAGGTGGGGCTTTCCTTCCTTACTTCTTTTTCTTTTTCTTGTTTTGTCTTTTTTCGCCTTTGCGCTCCGATTTCCAATGTGGCAATATATATATGTATATGGTGCAAACTATTACTGCCATCTGTGATCTCGTGCGTAATTACCCTAACCTGCAACTGTTCCAGGTCATTGACCCTATGGGTACCTCGTGTACTTCCATGCCCGCCTCTACGCCTATCTATGTGCCTGCCTCCGTACCTGTCTCTGTGCCTGTTTCTGTGTCTGTCTCCTTCCAGATTACTGACCCTATGGGTACCACGTGTACTTCTGTCCCCGCCTCTGCACCTGTCTCTGTGCCTGCCTCCACACCTGTCTCCATGCCCCTTTCTGTGTCTGTCTCCGTGCCTACCTCCATGTCTGTCACAGTGCCTGCTTTAGTCTTCATTCCCCCACATGCTGCACTAACACCTTGTGACCTCCTTTTTTGTGAGATCACTGACACAGTCACACTTGGTTGTGGAAAGCATCGACTTTGTTGACATCACTACAACCGTATAATTTTTTGGGCCCACTGTCGGCAGGGATGCCACCTGTATCCGGATTGTGAACATCCTCTACATCCAGATGTAGTATGTCCCATTTGTGCCTGCGCGCGCTATAGTGAATGTGCTCTTAACTGTGATGGTGAGCGCCCCACAATCTTCATGGCCTGCAACCGGCATGCCCTCTGTCGTGCATGCTTCAGAGGTATGGTTAATGCTAGCCGCCCTGGCTCCTGCTGTGACGAAGTTGCTTACCTGAATGGTTTTCGTCCTGTAGATCAGCGAGACGGCTGCTACCATCGCCCGCATCCTTATGACAGTTGTCCTATCTGTCGTGAGGGTCTTACTTAGACGTACCTTGCACCCTGACAAAAATGTGCAGGTGCACTGAAAAGAGTCTACAAGAATGTGCAAATGTGGGGAACCCTTCACTAAAACTGCAAAACTGTGAAGAATGCAGTTAAAGAAGAACATAAGTTTGTGTCATCTTACCTTGTTTGTACCTTGCACCCTAACACCCTCAAAAGAAAAGTCCGAAGGGTGAAAATGAAAATGGAAAATGAAGAAGGAAGTGCAGGTGTGCTGAAAAGCGAGCGTGGTAGACTCTTCACCAAAATTGCAAAACTGTGAAAGAAAGATGTTTGGGTCACCCTCTGCCTATCGGTTTTCCTTTTCTGCTCCTCTCTTCCTTGGTTTTAACACCTCTTCCTTGTTTTTAACACCTCTTCCTTCACTCTGCCTCTTTCCCATAGCGTGCAAGTTGGCTGTTATGGCATACGGGGATGGGGGCAGCTCGCGCTCAACTTCATCAACATGGCGAGCCTTGTACGTTAGAGGCATAGTGGAGGAGGCGTTAAGAAGACTGAGAAACTGAATGATTTCATTGTGTCTTTGTTTTTTATTTTTATCCTTTGATTCAGTGTAATTTTTTTTTGTAAAACACTGAAAGAAATAATAATATTGTGAAACAAAGAATAAGAGGACATTGTTTTGTGTCATTCTGGTTTGTCTGTCTCTTTGCCTGTCTGTCCTTTCAATTTCTTTTCTTTGCTCATCTTATTCTTCTTCTACTTCACGTGCTTACTCTCTGAGTCAATAGTTCTGTGACAATATATATATATATTGTCACATAACTATGAACTAAAAGAGCGCAATTTGCGAAACAAATGGCAAAAATAAAAAATTAAAAAAACAAGACAAACATGAAGGGCACAGTGAAACCATTCATTTTTCTCATTCTTCTTTTGACTCCCTTTTCACCGTGCCTCTAACGTACAAGGCTCGCCACGTTGATGAAGTTGAGCGCAAGCTGCCCCCATCCCCGTGTGCAATAACAGCCCACTTGTACGCTGTGAGAAAGAGGCAAAGTGAAGGGGGAGGGGATAAACACAGGAAGGAGAGATGGAGAGCAAACAAACAAAGCACGATAAAGGGAAAGTAAGGGAAAGTATGGAGTGTGGAGTGAAGATGAAGGCNGAAGGAGAGATGGAGAGCAAACAAACAAAGCACGATAAAGGGAAAGTAAGGGAAAGTATGGAGTGTGGAGTGAAGATGAAGGCAAAAGAGGATAAGAAAAGGCTCAAGAATGAGTCTGTCCTTGACGACAGAGAGGACATACATTGTAAGGATGAGGTGGGTGAACACATGGAAGACCTAGCTGAGCATTCTCAGTGCAACAATTTCCACGACGGGTGGCATTGAGCATGCCCACCATACACCCCCGACAAATGGCATGTCGATTGCAGGCCAAATGAAAGAAGAACGGTCACCACAAAAGAGCATGCATTCAGTATAGCGCCCATGGCCGCAAAATGGACATATAGTGTCCGGATGCGGAGGCTGCCTGCAGTCAGGAACGGTGGGACAGTCCTCTGCACACATGGATGCAGAAACCATGTCATTGTAGTGATTGTGACAGAGACGATGGCGGCTACAGCTACAGCCGAGTGTAATAGTGTTTGTGGTTGTGCAAAGGAGAAGGTCGCAGAGTGTTGGTACATTATCTTGCTGCAGCACGGGGCCAGAGGAATGATCTTCGACATAAAAGAGATTGCGGACAGTTTGTTGTGGCAAGAAAACAGCATCATTTTGTAAGAAATCGGTGACATCAATCATGGCATGGACCATGGTGTCGTTGTCCCACAGCTCCCAGTGGTCAGAGGCATGTACAATGGCCATGTAATGGCCAGGGCCGTGCACAATGTAGGCAGAGATGTGGGATGGATGATTAAACCACTCACCTGCTCGAGCATTGCGTAGTTCAAGTTGACGGTCCCCCATTGCTACTTGTAGGACAGCAATGGTAAAGCCTCCTTCGCTGGTATAATTACAATCCTCTGGCTGTCGTTGGGGAAGATCAGCATCAAGCTGAAGGGCGATTGCAAGGAAGTCTGATGGGGTATAAAAAGGGCGGTGGAGAACGTGAAGACAGATATTAGTTGTTGTCAGACCACAGAGATTGTTGAGGTTCTCAGGCTGGTTTGTTGGACGCTGACCGAACGTTCGGGGGCCGAACACCTCCAGGTTCGGCCCCCGCCAGAAAAAAATTCGGGGCCTAAAAATAAGGTTTTTTTTCTGAATATTTTTTTGTGAGGTCTCTATGATGTAACCAACACGCCTATAAATTTTGACGCCATTGTGCTAACCCAAAAAAACATTAACAATCGTCAAAGATGGGGGTGTCAAAACTTGCTCGACCACTCACTATTTTGTTTTTTTTCACTTTTAACTTTTTGTTTTCACTTTATTTCGGGGCCTAAACAATTTTATTATTTTTTGAAATTTTTTTAATGAGTTATGGATTATGTAAAGTACATATCTGTAAATTTTCAGGGCATTTGTCAATGCCAAAAAATAATTAAAAATCAGCAAAGATGGCGGTGTCGAAAAGGTGCTGGCACACTCACTCATTTTAATTCTCTTTTTATTTTTTCTTATTTTTATCATACTGTTTATTTTTTGTATTTGATTTTTAATTCAAATTTGGTAAAGCATTTGGATACAGTGCCCAGGCAA